TCTTTTCATAGAGGAAGTTGTTGCTTCTTCTGATACTTTGGGTTTGAGTTAAGACTGAACTAAAAAATAGCTAAATAGCCTACCTTTACTTTGTTCCCCTTCCATACATTTTCAATTTTGATCCATTTCTAAAATAGAGATAGATTGATTATCTATTCCTCTCCCAGGTTCATGAATGTTCAATGGCTTCTCTCTGCTTAGAAGTCTACGACAAACCACTTAGCCTGGCACATGAGGCCACAGGAACTGGCCCAAGCTCTGTCCTCTCTCATCACCCACTACATCCTTCAAATAGGACACCCAAGCATATTGCAAAACAAAGACTTGCCTGCTTTCTTGCCTGAAATGTGAATCTCTCATCTTGAAATCCTATTCATCCATCCAAGCCAGGGACAAATCATGTATAGAATGGCAACAAATATTACTATTATTTTAAAATAGTTCTAAATATTATTAAGTTCCATAATACTCAACCAAGTCTGGGAGGAAAGATTAATTGAAAAAAAAAAAAAAAAGATTGAGAAAGGTCTCGGCCTTTTCCAAACATGTGATTGATAGGGTATTCAACAGTAGATTCAAATTCAATTTCAAATTAGGGAAGAATATTTAACATCACCTCTAGAGGGTTTTTTTTTCCCCTCAGCAACTCTAAATCTACCAGAAGGCCTTTGCAGCAGTTTTCTCAAAGTGTAACACATTCTACTTTGTGAATCATCTCTTCATGTTTAATTATAAGGATTTGAATTTGCAGCACCAATTAATCAGTAATTAGATAGTACTGTACCAGAAGAAATTAAACAAAGATAAAAACAAAAACACAACTCAGCACAAGACCATATCATCTAGTAACATTTCATGTAGCAAGATAAAAATACTCCTGGAGAGATACAGGTTAATTGAATTAGGAACAATGTATTCTTTTGATTTTTGGTTACTATTGTTGTCAGTGATCTCCAAAACCAGTGGGAAAATCAAAAGTAATCTAAATACAAAAACACTCTGATTATACTAATGTTTATTCCTCTTTTCACTCTTCATCAGAAATCCAGTTTATGACACTCAATAATTGTTCTGAAATGTAGTGGTAAACTTTGGCAATGCAAAAAAAATGTATATTTTCTTTTTTTTAAATTTAAATTCAATTAGCCAACATATAGTATATCATTAGTTTCAGATGTAGAGTTCAGTAATTCATCAGTTGCATATAACACCCAGTGCTCATCACATCACGTGCCCTCCTTAACGCCTGTCACCGCCCCAATCCCCACTCCAGCAACCCTCAGCTTGTTTCCTATAGTTAAGAGTCTTGGTTATTTTTTAATGATACATTCTCTGTTGATCTTCATGTTTAAAAAACACAAAAATCAGCTTTTGAGTTAATTATCATTTAGACCTCTAAAACAAAATGTTCACCTTCGATGTGAAAAAAAAATCCAAAAAGATACAAAGCAGATTGAGGAAGGAAAAGTAAAGGTTCCGGAAACCAAGATGTAAGAGAGGAAAAAGGCGTGTCTGTGCAGCAAGTCCCTTTAGAATCAGGGCAGAGGACAAGGGGACCTTCTCCCTACAGTCAGGCCATTTCCCTGTGCCAAGCTCATGGTGACTTCTCCTGGTTCTCAAGCCTTTTGTTAATAAGAGAAAGAGAAAACTGAAAGTTAGAAAGAGAAAGCAGCCTCTCCCATAATTCAGTCTTTTTTTTTAATTTAATTTAATTTTATTATGTTAGTCACCATACAATACATCATTAGTTTTTGATGTAGTGTTCCATGATTCATTATTTGCGTATAACACCCAGTGCTCCATGCAGAACGTGCCCTCTTTAATACCCATCACCAGGCTAACCAATCCCCCCACCCCCCTCCCCTCTAGAACCCTGTTTGTTTCTCAGAGTCCATAGTCTCTCACAGTTCATCTCTCCCTCCGCTTCCCCCCGCTTCATTTTTCCCTTCCTTCTCCTAATGTCCTCCATGCTATTCCTTATGTTCCACAAATAAGTGAAACCATATGATAATTGACTTTCTCTGCTTGACTTATTTCACTTAGCATAATCTCCTCCAGTCCCATCCATGTTGATGTAAAAGTTGGGTATTCATCTTTTCTGATGGCCGAGTAATCTTCCGTTGTATATATGGACCACATCTTCTTTATCCATTCGTCTGTTGAAGGGCATCTCGGCTCTTTCCGCAGTTTGGCTATTGCGGACATTGCTGCTATGAACATCGGGGTGTATATGGCCTTTCTTTTCACTACATCTGTGTCTTTGGGGTAAATACCCAGTAGTGCAATTGCTGGGTCATAGGGTAGCTCTATTTTTAATTCAGTCTTGAAAGAGATGACAAAGCAGCCTGCTCGTGTGGGTCCCCCACTAGCATGGAGTGATCCCAACAGCTGGGCTCTAGGGAGGGCAGCCGGGCAGAGGAGCCCCAGGGTTATAGGTTATAGGCTGGTTAGAGGGCAAACCTTTCTCCTTCAAAGCTTCTGATTACTCCTTCCCCCTGTGACTGTGACTACATAGGGAGATTGAACCAACAAAATATCAAAATTACCTTAAGGCACTTTAAGTTCTTTCCCTGGTGCTGTTTCAGGAGTCTTTGTGTCTGTAAGAACCTGGCATCACCTTTACTCCCAAGTATGAGGATCATGTAAATTATGGATATTGTGAAATCTTTTCATTGTGTGCCAAATGAATGAGCAGGTTTTTCCCTCAGTGTATGAGATTGTCTTGAAAACTCTTACAAAATGAATTTCACTGTGTACTCTCAAGCTTGCTTTCTAGAAGCATTTAATTGTCATTCTCTGAAAAAAGTAATTTGTCTTTTGATAGAACAATTTGCCAAGAAAGAGGGTAAGGTGCTCTGAGAAGAACTATAGAAGAAAATTTGAAAGATTCTCATCTCTTGGTCGAAATGGCTCCTCAGACTCTCCTCGGTTGTTTCAAAGCTCAAACCACTGATGAAGAGCTTCTGCAGCTTTTCAGGCTCTTTGGGAGACTCTGACTTAGACATGACGGCGGTGGGAGGGGAGACTTTACCGATGAATATTCTCTTGAAAAAAAAAAGAAGAAAGAGTAAGCTTTGTTTAGTAATTTAGCATCGCCGTGGACATTGGAGAGCCAAGTTGTGATAATTTTTACAACTTCATGATGAAATTAATTGAGCAGCACCCCCAAATTTGGGAACAATTAGATTTTTTCTCCAATTTAAGAATCTCTTTTCCCAGTGTATTGGGAAGTGATGCTATAAAGTTTCTATCTCTGAGTTCACTGCTTTAAAAATTATAAAACACACCCTGAATGAAAGCCACATTTGTCAACGTGACATTCATTTGTCAATATGGTTTATTAATCCTCTGTTGTACTTCTTCAACTGTTCTCTAATTTGAAAATGTTCATCTCTCAGGAGGTGGTACAATTTATCTGATTCCAATGTACCACATAAATTGTTTCCTCTTGATATTAACTTCTTTATTGAAATAAGCTTCCACAAGCTGATTCCAGTTCACAATGATCATTATCTTATGAACCCTCACTTGGGGTTAACTGGCCAGAAATTAATGAACCGGAGTAACCTCTTCATCTCAATGAATGATTACCAACGGCTCTTCACTTTAACAACATGGTGACCACTCCTGTCCCAGCTATCCTTCCTGAAGGAGAGTGTAGGAAAGCAGGGCACTGGAGTTTAAACACCTCTCATCGCATTTCTCCTCCACCGTCTCCCATTTCAGTAAATGGCTCTAGTCAGTGCTTGAGCCAAAATGCCTGACAGCCAGCCTGGATTGCCCCCTTTTGCTCATGTCCCACACTCAGGGCACCAGCCAGTCCTGCCAGAGCAGATGCCATTGGCCGCCACCAAGCTCAAGCCACTATTTTCTCTTGTCTCAACTCCTAGCAGGTATCTCCTAACTGGCCTCCCTGCCTCTAGCCTGCCTTCCCTAAAGCCCGTTCTCCATATACAGCCCAGATCATTATTTTTAATCCTATTATGTCACTAGGCCTGCTTAAAGCTTTCCAGTGAGTTCCCATTCCACTTAGAATAACATTGAAACAGCTCCCGTGGCCAAAGGACCCCACATGACCAGCTCTGCACCCTTCTCCCCTTCTCACCCAAAGTGTGTCATTCTTCAAATACCCAGCACTCATTCCCACCATCTAGCCCATTCACAGCTGTCCCTTCTGCTTGGAGGGCATTTCCCTACCTGCTTAGAACTGATTGTCCCTAAAAAAATAAAAATAAAAATAAATTTAAAAAAAAAACCGCCTGGGTGGCTCAGTCATTAAGCATCTGCCTTCGGCTCAGGTCATGATCCCAGGGTCCTGGGATCGAGCCCC